CCGCTGACTGTAGAAGAAGTAAGTGTTGGAGACGTTTCCGAGTAAGAGAACAGTATCTGTTATTTATGCATTTTTAGTATCGAGTTGGTCAGTTATACATGATATGCAAGCATTGTGAAGAAGAGAGACCAACACCACCGAACGCTGTAATAAAAGATCAAGTAATTATACAGTTAAAATTCATATTCCATTTCCAACTAACCTGATATGAGCTCGAATATAATTTTAAACACAGTAATATTTGGATCCGTTGGATGCAAATGATATTGTTCAAATGAACATATTAAGAAAAGAAAGAGAAAAAGCCACATACGTGGTGAAATGAGTAGAGTAAAGACACTTTGGAGTAATTGTCGTGTAAAAACAATAATAAATAATTTCCTTCTTAACCATGATACATTGCTATCGTCATCGTCTGAACTAGCACTAGCAACTGCGCTAGGACGATGAGAAGTTTGGGGCTGCTGTCCTCCTTGATCAATATTCATCACACTATGTATATCATCAATACGGATTTGATTTTTCGCTAATGCTAGTTTCAAATGCTTAGAAAAATGTTTTCTTGCACTTGTTTTAGCCGCTATACTTTGTCGTTTTAGAAAATTTTGAACACGATTTATTGGAAATACCACACTTTGTCTTCTACCATCCAAGGCCGTTGTATTCTGCAATCCCAGGCTTTGTCGTCGTGTTTCAAGTTTTTGTTCGACTTTCTCTTGAGTTTGTAATACAATCCATTCAAGTTCAAAGGGATTTTCATTGATGGCACACAACATTTGTGGTTTAGCGGCCATTAACATCATATAAGTCAATAGTGTACCAGCAGCTAATTGACCAATGTCAATTGTTTGATAACCGGCGAATCGAGCATTCACCGTCTCGAACATGAATATCATAAATCTTGTACCACCGCTGTATACACTCAAGGGATCATCGGTGAAATCCAAGATAAGTGAGATGACGACACCGGTTATTTGCATGATCAACGTGATTGTCAAATATAAGCGGGTTTGCACAGCTGGATAAAGAACGGTTGTTAGTCTATGATTATTCACTAAAATGTAGTCAAATATTATTTTAAAACGCCATGGTGCGACTTGTTTTAAAATGCTAATAACTCTATGGATAATGGCTGGAAATAATGATGTTCCACTAATAACCACAAACATGACAAAAATATTTATATAAACATCCGTAACGAATCGTGCTAAACCGTCTGACCTAAACGAATAAAAACATTATGTATAGTTTATTAGAGAAAAACTAATAAGACGATTGTACCATGGAGATAAACCATTTTGATTGAAACCAGTGAGTGTTATAATGAAACTTGCATACCATGGATTAATCACAATATCATCTTGTTTTAAACTACTTGGCTCATAATGGAACCGTAAACGCAGTCCAATGGCAATAAAAGTTACGAGATAAATGAAAAAACAAATTGACAAGGTTACTACTATTATCAAAATGTAAGCTTTAACTCGTATTTCCTCCACATTTGGCAATGACTGTATTTTATTCTCAACGTTGGGATGGTGTTTGTCACGGACTAATTTTTTTATAAATAAATTATTATCTTCATTTAAACTATTTTTTTGACGTATTTCTCTTTTAGCAAGAACAATTTTGATAAGAATAGCTGGTATTGTTGACACCGTTATTCCACTTATCCATGTAAATAACATTAGAACTAACTGGGACGCGACAGAAAATTTAGCAAAATCAACTGTGCTCAAACCGCACGTATATACGCATGTAGAACTCACAAACCATGCATCAAGATAATAAACAGACAATTTTCTAGTTTGAACGAATCGGTTTTCAATAATCCAAACCTGAAATTATTTCTATATAAACATCTCTCTAGTGAAAACAACGGCGTAAGTTGCTTACAATAAATCCACATATAAAAGAATTTAATATAAAAACAACCAGATGAATATAGAAGTAATCTCGCATTCGCCAATGATATTTTTTTGCCCAAAATTTTACTTTAGATAACCACGTACCAATCCTATTTTGAGTCAATGAAATCTGTTCATGAAAATGTCCATTCCTATCACCATCAGCATCAGCTGTTGTAAAATCATATCCAATATTGTCAATACCTTCAAAGCATTCTTCGATAGTGTGTATTGGATATTCTCCAGACATTGTTTATAAAATTGAGACTAAAATCAGCAAAATTCTTAGTTTCAATGGAGCAGCACAAATCAGAGAATTTAAGGGCCAACACGTACCTAAATAGAATGTTATTTCATCCGCAATTTGACTATCTACCAAAAAATGATCAAACGAAACATTGAAACAAATTTTTTACCATACTATTATGATATACTAAACTTTTCTATGCCATTATTATTATTTTAACTAATTAATTTCTTTTGCGACTATCAGAAGGAAAGAATGCACTATATACTATAGCTACTTGTTAAAAATTTATGTGAAAAAAATATATTTAAGTATGCATAACAGAAAATGTTAAGTAGACGAAAATGTGATATCATAAAGTTTATTACTTTTTTGACCATAATAAGTACGTTGACTAGAATTTGCATGTTTTCCAATGGATTTTTTCTCATGCAAATAATATGAACAAATAAATTGAATATCATTCATTACATTGATCATTTACGGATTTCATAACTTTCAATTCTAAGTTAAAGACATTTTGGCTGATAAAACATTAATAAACGCGGACATGTTGAAAGAAAAATTTTCCGGTTTTCTGTACATATGATAAATTCAATTTTGAATTCATGCATATCATTATTTAAATATTTTTTATTGATCACTCTTTTCTCCTATGATTCAGAATAATTTTCTGTCGACATTACAAAAAAAAACATTCTTGAGTACATGAAGAGTTCACTTCAGGTGATACAGCTCAAAGTCAATCTTCTCAATGAATAACTATTTCAATAAACGATGTATTTTTCTTTGCAACATACCTAAAAGAAAAGATAGAAAATCTCTTCATATTGATGCCATCATGCCACGGCAAATAAACTAACGGAATAGCTTTCTTCCTTCACTCCTTGTATTTTCCAAAATTCCAAAAATCTGGCGCACAGTGTTGAAATTTAGGATGTGAATGTCCCCTACTTCGCTTAATATAAGCCTGATCTCTGAAGGGGTCGACTTTTAGCTCTTATCGGCTCCGTCTTCTAACAGAGACCTGCTGGTCTCTTCAATGATCCCGCTTCGTTCACAGGGCTTTGATGTTTCTCCTCCTCTTGTACAACTTTGTGTTTCTTTTAAATGAAAACAGAAAAAGAAATGACAACAGCATGCTATGGCAAATAGTTTAATGGAATAACTTTCTTCCTTTATTTCTTGTACTTAGTACTTACCACTAAATATTAATATATATTTCCGTTCAAAGTTGCCTATAGGACAAAAATCGACATACCTGGCAAGCATTTCTCCAATACATCTACGAAGGCAAACTTTTGAAATTATGCGCTCTAGCTCATTTTGTAGCTTGTGAAATTCTCTACCGAATGATATATAAAGTGGAGTGGTTAATGGGAAAATGGATGGACATTATATCCATGAACGACGTTGACCTACCGGTTTGCTGAGGCGCTACCGAGTATATCGGATCTTAGATTACACTCAGTTACATTTTTCTCTAACTCTTCTATATATCATTTTGTGGCCCGTAAAATTCTCCGCCGAATGGTGTGTAATAGTTGCAAAAATGTTTCGTACGGACACTGAAAAGGGTTTCGAAGGTCTAAAAATACGTTAGGATTAATCGGGGTTTTCCACTTTTTTAATCAAGATGGAGAGATTTTTATGGCACATAGTCTTTTTAAAAAGTTGGCGGACAGATTTTTAAGTAAAACATTTGTAAAATGAAAAGAATTTTTATAAAGTTAAATAAAGTATAATACAAGGTTAGACAAATTTTAGGTAGATAAAAATTCCAAAAAACCGGCGGTTCTCTAATTTTAGCATATATTAGTGTAAGAATGTAAAAATCTATGTTTCAAACTATCTCTACCCAGGTGAAAGAATCATATAGTAGACACATATGGGATCTCGTAAGATCCTATCAGATCCTAAAGATCTTGTCTGACCTTATATGATCGTCTGAAATCATACAGGATCTTATGTGAAACACGTCTGCCATCTTAAAGCAAGAAGCGACGTAGAATTCCTACTATAGGATCATATGATATCCTACAGTAGGAAATTATAAAGATCATATAAGATCCTATATAATCTTATTATAGGATAGGATTTGATAGGATTTTACCTGATCAGCTACGCAGGTCCAAAAATCCGATCAAGATCTTACACGATCCGATGTTACGTAGTCATTGTCGGCGATTAATCCTAACGTATTTTTAGACCTTCGAAACTCTTTTCAGTGTCCCTAGAAAACATTTTTCCAAACAAAATATTTACTTCATTACATGAACTTTATTCACAGTATTTTCGTTATTCCATCTCTTTCATCTAAACTATCAACTATTACACACCGTTCGGCAGAGAATTTTATGGGCCACAAAATGATATATAGGAGAGTTAGAGAAACATGTAACTGGGTGTAGTCTAAGATCCGATATACTCGGTAGCACCTCAGCAAACTGGTAGGTCAACGTCGTTCATGGATATAATGTCCATCCATTTTCCCATTAACCACTCCACTTTATACATTATTCGGTAGAGAATTTCACAAGCTACAAAATGAGCTAGAGCGCATGCTTTCAAAAGTTTGCCTGCATGTGCTATAGGGCAAAATTCGACATATCTGGCAAGCATTTGTCCAATACATCTACGACGGTAAATTTTTGAAATCATGCGCACTAGCTCATTTTGTAGCTTGTGAAATTCTCTACGGAATGATATATAAAGTGAAGTGGTTAATGAGAAAATGGATGGACATTATATCCATGAACGACGTTGACCTACCAGTTTGCTGAGGTGCTACCGAGTATATCGGATCTTAGACTACACCCAGTTACATGTTTCTCTGACTCTCCTATATATCATTTTGTAGCCCGTAAAATTCTCTGCTGATTGGTGTGTAATAGTTGATAGTTGCTTTAGATGAAAGAGATGGAATAATGAAAATACTATAAATAAAGTTCATGTAATGAAGTAAATATTTTGTTTGGAAAAATGTTTCCTAGGAACACTGAAAAGGGTTTCGAAGGTCTAAAAATACGTTAGGATTAATCGGGGTTTTCGACTTTTTTAATCATAGTAGTCTGAGATCCGATATACTCGGTAGCACCTCAGCAAACCGGTAGGTCAATGTCGTTCATGGATATCATGTCCATCCATTTTCCCATTAACCACTCCACTTTATATATCATTCGGTAGAGAATTTCACAAGCTACAAAATGAGCTAGTGCGCATGATTTCAAAAGTTTGCTTTCGTAGATGTACTGGAGAAATGCTTGCCAGGTATGTCGATTTTTGCCCTATAGCACATAAAATGATTATTGTTTCTTCTACAGACAGAGATTAGGCACAGTTCGTATATAGAAAGATGCAGAATTGAACGAACTACAGAATGAGGTATAATATATTCTTTTAAATCTTAAGTTTAGTAGACTTATAGGAAAAAAGAAAAAAAAGTTTATGATTAATTTTGGTGATATGGGACCTTTCTTACACTGAATGCTGTTTGACAAAACAGTGCTGTAGAGAGCTCTGAGGAATCTTGATTTGCTCAAGAATCTTTTCCGTACACGATGTGGCTGTTGCAGAAAGGATAGCACCCGAATTCCTGGACTTAGTTTTCGAGGGTTTCGGTTTTCCAAAAATCTGAGCTTGACAAACTTTAACGAAACCATTATTTCCCATAGACAAAATTGGAAATTTTCTAAGCTATTCGAATCTTTCTTGAGATTCGTTCTAGCCATTATCTCCTAAACGGATATCCTTTTTACTGTCCTTTTCCAAAATATTAGAGTTTAGTAAGACTGCACTTTGAAACAGACGTTTTCGTCTACAGAGCTACTTTGCATGGAGATAAATATATATGATTTTCATTAGTTTTTCGATTCTCTCGACTAAAATACAGTATGATGGTATGAACAAAAATCATTTAATTTATAATAACATACCATCTAGCGCCCTCTCCTGACACGCCATGCTTTTGGTGAGTAATGGCACAATTTTTTGACGAATGAAAAAATGAACATGAGTAATTGTCATTCGTGATAACTTGCTTGTCGGATAACTGACGAATTTCTACTGAGCTTTCGCTAATATCGGAGTCATTTATAAAAGGATTCATAAGGCTTTTATATATGCCGAAATGCGAATTAGTAAATCAATAATCAATTTCGACTAAGAACGAACTAATTTTCTGTCTGTAACTGAATGTAGAAGCACAGTCGTACTCAATTTTCGTTTTCACTGTTTTTACGAATAGAAATGTTGTTGCAAGAATATCGAATATGTTTACCGCTGACTGTAGAAGAAGTAAGTGTTGGAGACGTTTCCGAGTAAGAGAACAGTATCTGTTATTTATGCATTTTTAGTATCGAGTTGGTCAGTTATACATGATATGCAAGCATTGTGAAGAAGAGAGTATGAGAGATGAAGGTGTTGAAGTTGTTAAAAATGAACCTTGCAATGATGAACAATACGGAAGCGGCCAATGTACGGAGAAAAGATTATATTTATCAAGGTAAGTACACCTTATTGTTGAGTGCATTCTGATCGCAGGATGGTATAGAACGAGGAGACGTTTCTTTTTTAATTTAGTCGTTTACCGAGTTGGATTCGATCATTTATACCAAACCTCTTTTATATCACTGAGAAAGCTTGGAATTATTATCCATATACAGTAACCGGTATCTTTCAAACAAAAAATATATAGCTATTTAAAATCTTTGAACTGTCTCTTCTATCTTTCATGGAATAAACTTATAGAAATAGATTGTTTATCACTTAAACTAAATAGAAATCCTTTGCACTGTAAACTCTCATTTCGTGATAACATATATTGTACAGCTGTTTCTAAACAAAATTTGCTTTTTTTCCAGAATATACTGTAAGTATAATCGAAAAACTTAGAGACAGTATTTATTTGCTGTGTCTGTATCGTTCTGTCAAATATCAACAACGTTTCTCCCCTCTTTGTGCTTGTGTGCGGCTCTTTCAAGAGGGAAACAGCTGGTTTTCGGAATTTTCCTGTTTCCACTGATTTTCACCAAATGAAAAGTCATCGGAAATGACTGGAAATCGTTGAAAATCACTGAAAATCAATTGATTTCGGGCTGATTTAAATCACCTGTTTCCTCCTTGGGCTTTTTACTACAGTTATTTTTAACAACATATATACTCAAATCTCTGTTCATACACCATTCGTCTAATTACATGTTCAACCAGCTAGTCCATTTGAGATTAATTGTTTACCGTATAAAATTTGATAATAATGAACAAAATTATGGACTATCGAAAATAATAATAATCCTCTTATAATTCAGATCAGAATCTATTATCTATTTTAAGCGGTTACTTTGCTCCACGATACGAATTCTGACGAACATTTCTCTTCTGCCATTGTACACCACTCTTCTACTGAGAAACACATTTTTTTCATGTTTTTTCGTATACATTCCTTTATTATTCGTAAAATTATTCCAACACTTTTTGTACTTAACCCTCGTCTGCATATTGTTTGCGGTATGCGTGCGTGTGTGTTTATTGTTTCTCATGTAGCCAATCGTTTAAAACACAGTCTATTAAAAGCTCTTCTTTCTATTTCCATCGCGCTTGTGGATTCTGTCGCTGCTGTCAAAATATGTATTTTCTTCTGATGTGTGCTTAAAGTGATGTACTGTTATATGTTTTGATACTTTTCCTATAATACAATAAATAGTTTATTTATTTTTTTAGTGTTCATTTTTGCCTCGTTTTTCAATTGTGGTTGAAACAAAATATGAAGATAATAATGGAACAACTGATAATGTAAGATTAAGTCATTATCATGTGATGTATAATAATCCAACAGAGGAATAATGCTCTGTTTATCTCTGTATTTTAGTGCCATAACCTATCGGAAGAAGAAGTACAAAATCGTAAATTAGAATTCCTTGATATTGTTGCTGACCATGTTCCTGAACATAAATACAAATTATCTGAAGTATGACGAAGGTTTGTGTAAAAGATGAATATTATAATTGACATTTAATTTTTTCAAGGATCCTACCAAATTCAAGTCGAAGAAAACAGGACGAGGGCCATTGACACCAGATTGGATAGTAAGTATTGTTCATAGTTTATTTACTGTAATAGTTAGTCAAACTCATCATTCTGCTAAATTAAAAGGTTCTTTCTGCTAATCTTACATCAACACTTTCCTTTAGCAAACATTTAAGCCCATTATGTGTGCCTATAAAATCGTTCGTGTTCGATTCGAAGTATGGGGATTGCAGACTAGATCAGAGGATTTTATACAGCGGGTATGTAGTCGATATCTGCGATAGTCTGTATTAGAGAAGTTTAACATTTCCGTCGTGCCTGTTTCAGACTGTTCGTGATATACTACTATTAGCCCATCGCCAAGCGTTTACATGGATGGACGAATGGTATGATATGTCAATGGAGGAAGTGAGAAAATACGAACAAGAAATGTTTCAGACGACTAATAAGAAAGTGATGCATTCAGCAGGATCAGTAAATTCAGTCCATTCGACCACAATGTCTGTTCATGAATGAGCTTGTCTTGTCTTCAGTGACACGTACTAGAACGTCTCAGGGTAGAGAGTGTACAACGAGCTATAAACTTTTCGTATCAAAAAAATCTTTTTTTCTGAACTAAATTGTAAGAGACCATAGTCATCGCCTTTCATTACGCCACTACTTTTTTTGATAATCAAGCATATCGTGCTATGATCAAAAACTTTTGCATCTGTATCACAGCAAAATCATGTGATGTTCGATTACAATGTGTTAGCAGAGAAGTGTACTTAAATTATTGTAGAGATTATTTGTGGTTAATGCTTTAGTTTATATTTTTATGTACATAAAAAACGTTTTCTATGAAAAGATAATTCGTTTCCTTCAAATCTTTGCTGATTAACGGTTACGCGCATACATATGAATTATAATAATCTCGCCTGGTTTAGTCTTTTTCCTCTCGTAAACTTTTAGCATAGTGTTTCTTTAGCCTTTATCCAGCCAACAAATTGTTAGTACATGTGCAAAGTTGAATGGAAGTTGGTAGTCCGTTTTTGATTCAGATGAAGTTACTGTTGTTGTTTTTATCTTTTGTAAAGTGCAACCCCAAATGTTGTTATTTTCTCCCTGTTTTGTTTGTCGTTTGAGAGACGCCGTCGTTCTTCGCTTACTATGTTATAGTTTTTAATTTTAACACTTGCTCGTTTTAGTTTCTAAACCATTTACTGTTTATTCAGTACTAGTGTCTGTTTTCTGTTGTTATTATTTTTCTCCGGTAGAATTTATATTTATTTTTATATTTTGTCACAATAAAAGTTCGTTCTACTAGATTTTACCTTTCTTTCTTTAGTATGTTCATTTTGTGATGATAGAAAGAGTAAAATAATGCCATTTATTTTTCCTTTCAATCGAAATGACGTTCATTAAACGTGAAAGAGAGCGTAAACTCACTGAAAAGTTTTTAAAATCAGCTGATGAGTAATTTCGATATAAAATGAAATATTAGTTTTACCAGTGCAACTATATTGAATCACCTCGCATGGTGTCTTTCTAGTAATTGTCAGTGATTATGACTGTTTAATACAATGAATAATTTCGCATCAGATCGTTACCATTGGATGCAACCTACACCATAAGATGGAACTGAAAGTTTAAAAGCAATGAATGAAAGGTTCCATTCCGGTTTTTAGCTATTGGCATGAGATGCGGCGGAACGGTTTAAAATGGGGTAAGGCTCAATTTAAGATATTCCTCTGCGAAATGAATTCTTCCCATATTTTTGGTGATTAATAAAAAGCAGTGGTGTATATGGTAATGGTTTCCAGTAGAAGACATAAAATTTCTCAGTCTAAAAGGCGCCTTTTGTGCTCATTGCTTCAAAAAAGGTGAGAATTTAAACACGTTTTCTCTAATGAGATTAATGGTCGAACTAGGATAAAGCATTAGGTGAGGGTCAGTCGCAATCTTTGGGTAAACCGAAGTTCAAACGTAAAATTTACTCTAAGCTTTTAGGAATCGAGTCTAGGCGATGATAGTGAACGGCCAGGATAAGGTTTAGAAATGTTTCATGCACGCTGTACCTAGGCGGCCAACAGACTTTGACATGTTTCCACCGCTCTTTTCAAGCTGTTTGTTAAGGGTAAATCGGATTTTCCTTTAAAAGCATGAGAAATGCATCGCCGAAAGCAGTGAAAAGTTCACAGCAGCTGAAAATATCAAACGATTTTATGCAGGAATCTTTTTATCATTTGCTAGGAGCAAGAAAGGTAAATGGACTGAAGTCGGTTTAGTTACCAACTACATTTCCTGCAACGGTTATCGGCTATTTTATTCTCTGTGCTTAGATTGTCCTAGTAGGTGATTTTTTTATAAGATTCGTCCTCTTTGAAAAAACACACAATCCTAATATAGAATAGAAAACTTTTATAAAAAGCTAGGTGGTGGTACTCAAAGGTCGGGAACTAAGGCTGAGCCACACCTAATCTCATCTTGATACACAACTAAGTAAAAAGAATTTCTTCAGGTAGACAATAGCTGTTGTGGGCCAGGATAAACACCAAATGTGTAAATATCCGTATCCAATAGTGAAATGGGGTAAGACCCAGACTAGTTGCTGCAAATTTTGGTAAAGCTTGAGCCTTACCCAGCCTAGTGGTTCCACCGCCTATGATTGGCATGAGTTTTTTTTTATTTTCATTCAGGATGTGCACCGTTTTCTACAAACAATACAGGGGTATCCAAAGCAGTGCTTTGATTCGATGTTAAACTGTAAACATCTTCATGATCAAGCAGGTGAATAAGCATGCAAAGCAGTATATGGAAAACGTATTGATGATACAACATATGAACTATTTTATCAATGGGTAGTTGGAAAAGTGAGCGATCCCCAAATCGATGTTACTGTAACATTGTTATATAATAAAAAACAGAGAAATTTTGAATTACATAGCAGAGCTCCTGCCGATCCGCCCGACTCGATGACCCGGTCCGCCTCGGACCAGGTCGGCCGAGCCAGTCGCTTTTTTTCATCGGGTCCAGCGGATCGTCCGAGAAAAGTTTTTAGCTCGGTCGGGTCAGCGTTTTTTACGGTCCGGCACGGCCCGAGAAATTTTAAAATTTTTCTCCATATTTTCAGTTAAATTTAGCTATTTCCTAGTAACAATATGTTATTATTATTTAGTGAATTCTGTTGAGGAAAACAGTTTGATCACTGGTCAAATCAGGTGACTAATGATAGAAGAAGAAACAAATACATCATCTAAAGGAATTCTATCCTTTACTGAGTTTATTGTACAATAGATTCTCGAGTATGTGCTGTACAATATGTATATGCTGCTGAGCTCTGTTACATAGCTCTATACAGCACTTTTTTCAGAGACAGTTTGACATCATTTAAATATAATTTTGATAATTTACAAATATATTTTTCATATGACGAAAAAAAGGCTTTAAAAATGATTTTTGAAACTTGTTACAAAGCGACAATTGATCAAATTATTAGCTTGTAATAAAAACATACTTATTTAGTTTTGCTGCTGTGTGATACTATTTTGCGATACTTCTGTTAAACTCACTTTTACTCCTTTCAAGAGCGGTGATTTTGGTCTTAATTGATCAATTCGGCAGCACTATTGACTGGAAAAATTTCAAGCGCTGGATTCGAGTAGAGGACAGTGGATACAAACTACGAACTAATCGTTCATGTGTAGAGATCAGCGGGATCCAATTTTGTAGCCCGGAAACCCTCCCCGAAGCCCGAAGTTTTTCTTTTACATGACCCCGGCCCCGACCCCGAGGCTTTTTCCTCAGTGATCCCGACCCCGACCCCGGAAAAACCCGAAAATTTTCTATCCACGAGAAGCATCGTATGCACATGGCGACATTTTGGTAGAGACATGGAGTGTATTATCTCTATCATTTCCTTTTGATTTTCTTTTGTTACAGCAGCTTTATATTTTGATGATCAGATTATCTGGTTTTGTTTGTTTATGTATCCATTTACTAACTGTGAAAATAAACATCCTTCTAATATAAAATAACGAAAAGCATTTGCCGGGGTATACCGGGGAATGTTCTAAATAATGTTCCCGACCCCGATTAAGACCCCGAAAATTTTTCTTTTTCAGCCCCGGCCCCGACCCCACCCCGCCGGGGTCGGGGACCGGAGTCAGGGTATCCCCGCTGATCCCTATTCATGTGAGTTGTTGAAACAAGCGTAAATGAGATGATCACAAGGCAGCTGTACAGTCAGTGTTAGACTTGTTGTAAAAGATTAAAGTTGTTTAAAAACTTTTGCACCAAATAGAACGCTATCAGAGACTAAAAAACGCGATAGTTGTGCGTTACCATACATAAGACATTATGAAATTTGAACCTAAGTGTAAATTTTAAGACCGTAAGAGATAATTCAAAAGTATTTGAAATATACAAAAACATATGTTTTCAAACATATTCAAGTTCTAAAATTAGAGTTTCTCTCGTTTTGTTGTTGTTGTACTAAATAGTCTTGTTGTGCATAATAGTCAAACTCATTTGGTCCGCCTGCAAGTGCATAATCGTATTCTGATGACAATTGTAACTGTGGATCATACATGTATGGTCGGGTAGGTGATACATCATAAGCACGTGGAGAATCATCAAGTGGATATGCATCTTGTCTATTCCAACGTAATTTTTGTTGACGATTCATTGATGGTCGAATACTCATAATTGTTTGAAGCTGTTGTTGAGATTGTTGAGACTGAGTCTGTTGGGATTGTTGACTTTGTTGCAATTGTTGTTGTTGACTATCAACTGAAATTCGTATATATTTTTTAGTTAATATATCTTATCACGGATATGGATAGAAACATACTTATTTGGTTTTGCTGCTGTGCTCCGTTATTTTGTGCTACCCCTGTTAAATTCACTTTTACTCCTTTCGGAGGTGGTGATTTTGGTCTTAATTGTTCAATTCGTTCTGTTACTCCGGTCAAATGCCCGCGTCCTTCTTCTTTTAAATCTCCTCCCGCTCCTGGTGTCGTCTCAAAGAATAATTTATATAACTTTTTATCATAATTCGATGTTGACAATTGAGGACCTATTGAAAGCCAACCACGTCGAATTGTTGATTCACGACTAAACAAATGTAAACGTCTTCGTCCGAGACAAAAATGTTCGATAATATGATATATTTCCAGTGGTTTATTCGCATCTCCCCATTCAGGTTCTTCTGTAATAATTAAATCGATATCAACATTCGCATGAATAAAATCACTATCTACTGAACGACGAACAGTGCCACGTATGCCCATCAAACAATGTTCCTAAAATATAAAATAATAATTCTAAAGAACACAATTTCCTTCTATTGTAATCCTTTCAAGGTATGATTTCGATATTATCTAGATGATAAATAATTTAGTTGGCTACCTTTGTTCGTTGGAAAATGGCTCCTGGCTCATGGGTAACAACATGTCGTGGATTTGAACGATTGGTTTTTACCCAACATATATCTTCACACCGACGAAATCCCCATTTTTTCAAACACTATTAAAATCATAATACACAATATGTATGTACATATATCTTCTTTGTTAAATTTCTTTCGCTTACTTGTCTTCCTAAATCGAGTCCTTCAGCTGATCCGCACCACAAAAATACAAACGAACGTTGAGCAGCAGCCGCTTCAACATCTAATTTCATTATCTAAAATTAATAGATTAGATACACAATTTAGAAATTAAATCATTACAAAATACAGCAAATTATGTTGTATATTTCCGTAAAGTTCTGCAATTCATCATACCTGAAACTCTTACTGACTTATATTTATTTATATGGTTCATCTGTGATTTTATCAATCTCAATCGACTTTTATTTACTGCAGTCTAGCTTGTAACTTACTTCATCCCATGACCAATATCGATCAAAATGGACTCCATGTGTTCGTTTATATTCTTGTAAAGGAGGTTCGATTAAAATAACATCAAATTCACAGTCAAGATCAGCTAAACTAAAATTTAATAAATCACATTTCATATACCTTAAACAGAAAAATAAAGCAAATTTAATTTGACATAAGAATGTCATTTTTCTATTTCAACTCTTACATCGGTGGTGTGCCTGTTTTAGCGATATGTTCATCTTTTAGACGAATTAATTCACGTAATTTTGGATACTCTTCAAAACGATCTTGTAATCCTAAAAATAATATATGAAAGAAAAGTATAGTCCCTTTTCAATATTAAGTGACAGTTGGAATAAAATGAGTTTGTACGAGTTTAAATCATTCGTATATACTCAAAAAACAAAGTTGCTATTAAGTTTGTTTTATAAAGCAAGTCCTCCTGATATTTCATGTGTTCAAAACACAAATTAATTTGAAAGAACTGAGGATTCATTCGATTTTCGTTTAGTTCCAAAGAAGATGACTGTATTGTACGACTATCAATAATTTATGATAAATAGAAAAATTTATCATGTTTACCTGCATCTCTAATATAATTTTGTGGTCTGTGTCCAGAATTTACAAAATGTTGATTATAATCATTCAGCGGACCCTAAAGCATGTGTATATTCTGTTAAATACAGTCATGTTGTTTATAAATTCAAACTCACTTCATCAAGATCTTCTTCATCACGCGACATTTGATCAAAAAAATGAACCTAGATAAAAACAGATAAGATAAAATACATATTTTCATCTACTAAGACTCCTTATTTGTAGATAATCGATCGAGAAGTTGTTTTAAGAGAAGCTGACTGTTTTGACAATAGATGAGGCTCAAAATATTTTCTTCACTCCTCATTGAACTATTACCGAAGTATCAAGCAAAATAAAAGTCTATCTTATTTTGAATACGAATGAATCAATACAAAATAGAAATGACTTAAAAACTACCGAAAAGATTTTTCTGTTCATTCTTCGATGCAAAACTGGAGGAAATATTGTTGACGTCAAGAGAATCCGTTCTTTCCTTGTATATATGGGTCAAACACGTATTTTAACGAAATGTTAAACGCTTGAGCCTTACGTAGAGGAAATCAGATGAGGCCCTGGTCTATTAAATTCGCCGCCTGTGATCACAGTATTGAAAATAAAAACTAACTAAGTAGAAATGTTTATAAATTTTTTTCTTCCACTTTACTTACTTCATCTGTAATAACACGAGATGTTTGAATTGGCGATGTATCATCTGCATTCTTTCGTTTATAACGAATTTGTCTAGAAAAAAATGACGCCCATTAGGGTTTCGCTATTTAAATATTCATCAATATAGACAAGCTAGTTTTCATGCGTTTGTCGAGTTCTATCGATTTATTCATAACCTGCAACCTCTCCGTGTGAAATATTTCCCTTTCAACATCAAAAAGTACTAATAAGTTTAGATAACGAACTAGGGAGCAACTCCGAATATCCAGCCGATCTTGAGCCTGTCTTTTAGAATTAAGTAGCACTTGGTAAGACTAGAAGAATCCTAGCAGGATGGCTGCCCATGGGCCTTCTGTGGCGAGATATCACTTTCCAAGTCCGTTTAAATGGCATCTCGTTTCGATAAAAAATCGATTTCTCTGCAACGCGAAAAACCGGAACGTCTCATTTTGTACACAAATGTTTGTTCTATGCATTTGTTGAAATAAAAAAGGTTTAAAGTTAATTGTGACAAAAATATGAGCATTCTTAAATACCATAACTGTACGTGGTAACTGGTCACCAGTTATACAACTGTTTGCGGCTCTTCACTAATTCGTTAAAAACGTTTCTCTCTTTCAACCTTTCTTAATCTGTAAAAAGAATGATCTGACAATAAGTGATCACCCCGGGTAGATGGGTTCGAGAGAATATACATGTGAAGTGATGTTTTTTTGAAAAATCCATATTTCGCCAACGGTGTAACCGACTTCGATGAAACTTTTATTTCAGATGGACAGCCCCCGCTTATACCCCAGAAAAAGATTTCAGCGTACGAATCGCTCTAGAATTCTTCTAGTCTTATCAAGGGCTACTTAATTTCAAAAGACGGGTTCAAAATCGGCTGGAGATCTGGAGTGGTTCCCTCGTAAGATCATGGTAAGCTGATATAAAATTTGTTACCATGAGTTGCTTAACATTAATTGCTGGTCTTACCTACTTTGTTTTAGTCACAGCGTCATATTCTGCCTCATCACATTTATTAATTAGAAGTTTTGATAAATGATGGGAAGACATTCCGAACTAAAATAAAAACAAGAAATAGAATTATTTATAATGAAAATAGTAACAAATTAAAGAAACTCTAACTGTGCTAGCCATTGTTCTGCGAATACTATTATTTCGTCGTTTCATATATTGTATTAGATCATTTGATTCACTATCACTTCGTCGATGTTTGTCATCTGTCTGATGTGTGCGGTTCCGAGAATGCGGTGAAGAATGTCGAAGCTGATGACGATGTGACGCATGTCGAGAATGAGTATTATAAGACGAATACGCATCATGATAAGCAGGTCGCCTCTAGAATGAAATAAAGAGAGAAAACTTAATTCTAGTTAAAGAACAGGTATTCACTTCGTACTTCATAACGCGAATCATCGTGTCTAAAACGTTTAAATCGAACAGATCGATGATAATCACGAGAATTTCCACCATTCGAATAACGATGAGACGCAAAACGGCGACTAGAATGAGTAGAAGGACGAGTCATCTAGAAGAATACAAAAATGATGATAAAACTGGATGAAATTGGTTTGTTTTGAATGGGCACAGGATTTTCATACTGAGTATAAAAATGCCAAACTCTTGGACCGAAAAAACAAGAGACAAAAAGAAATTTGTTTATTAAAATTTAAAATAACATTTAGCTTTCTGAAGTTTCTATGACAAACAATTTGATCTCTCTACTGGAATTTGCTTCCGTAATCTGTAACTGATAAATCAAATTTCTGACTTTTCTTATTTAACTGAGCAATAATTCTCAAAGGCCTTATTGACGATATGGTATTTAAACAAAGTCAGCGAACTAATGAGATGCTGCAGAGTAGTGCTTCTTTAAAAAACGTATTTGTTCATTATGTTTGACTTCTGCGATTAGTTATAATGTAATTAACTACTCAAATACAGTTTTCTAAACGTTTATTATAAAACCAGTGTACCTTTATAAACATTTCAGTTAGTAATACGACAAAAATGTTTACGTTTATTGATTTAAAACTTGGCACTTTTACAAATCAGTTACACTCCTGTGTCGTTGTTTCCTTTTAGCTCCGAATAGTAACTCCAAGGAGCAAGGATCAACGGTGTAGCATCTACTTGGAGATACTGTTTGGGACTAAAAGGAAATAGCGCCCCTATGTAGTGATGAGTGTGTGTATACATAGCTATACAATATACAATAACAGGGAAAAAGCTATTGGTTAAAAATACATATCATTGGATAAACAGTATAAAGCATTATAAACGCGAATAATAGATGGCTCTAGTTATAGAAAGCTATAATAGACAACGCTAACGAATCCCAATTAATAAGGATCAGTCAAAGGATTAAATATTAAAAAGAGTATTAATTTATTTACTAATTACAAAAGAAAACAGCAGAAATCAACTGCAGAAAAAAACGCTACAACAAAAAGAAACAGAGAACATTGTAGAACCAAAAAACCTACAAAAACCTTTTTACTTTAGTCGGGTACAGTTCATTAAGGTATTTCGCCAGATTTTCGAACGACCTATCTCTAAATCTTCGTCGCCACATAAATTCTGAAAGATGTGTCTGTAAAAGTGTTAGTCGAGTTATAGGAAAAATACTGAAAAAAATCTCAAAACCCAAATTTTTTAATTTTAGAAACCCTATAACTCGGTAAAGAAAGATCTAAAAGCAAATTCTAAAATTATACCTCTGCGCCCTGATCTTGAGTACTTCTGGAAAAATTTTGAACTCGATCGGATGAAACTTAAGGAGGGTCGTAATGTGACACAATGAAGCCTGGTAGCAAAAAAATTGTTTTCGAGAAAAAACGCATTTTGTATACAGGCCCCTTTTTTAGGGCATTTGCCGCGATGCTTACATCTCCACGAAAATTCATCAGAAAATTCTAGAAAACATCTCATTGTGAAGAAAACACATTCTTCTAACAGACTATGTATAAGAAACTTTTGAATGTGCAGAAAAGAAGAGAAAATTTTACGAAACTAAAAAATTGAGTCTTTTTAGGCCTTGAAGGAAAAACTTCAAAATGCGTAACTTTTTGAAGAAAAGTCGTGACGGGCTGGGGGTGATCTCATTATGTAGCCCACACTTTCCTCTACATTAGGATATGCGTAGCTCAAAATCCGAAATTTTTTCAAAAAAGGGAGGAAGGTACCCTTACGCTTCCACCTTAATTCATGTTCATAAAATGGTTCACCGACTGTTCAGCTTGATTTAATACTAATATCTTTTTTGTATCACCAGTAAGTGATTAACACGGGAATTGTTTCCAAATGATCTAGCCATGCACCGATCCCGGTTCGAACCGATGAAATCAGAACCGCATGCGAATAAGAAATATCTGTAAAGGTCAAGTACACGATTTACTACCACTGGATTTATTTTCCGTTGATTATTTTCCATTCCATGTTAATTAGATTTTTTCAACTAAAAAGTGTAATCAAGGAAGAGTAAATCCCCTGGTAGTAAATCGTGCAGACCCTTTTGTTTTTTATATTTTAATCATTTTTCCCTTCAAACCACTAAATCATTTATTGAAAATCTGATTTCCAATAGACTAACTTTTTTCTCGCGTTCATCCACTCTAACTATCCGCGAAATATAAGCCGAATCCGCAGTCACAAGAAAAGAATATGCTTTAGAAAAAGATTGTTTTTTTGGGTGTTCTTAGCTATATTGTTTGAGAGTGAAATCTATTTTCTCTCGATCATACCCAAATGCTTTCCTCATTTAATTTTTTTGTGCTTTTATCGAAGAACTAACTAAGAGGAAACAAAGCAGAAAAAACCGGTAAAGGAGAGAAGGTAGTTAAGAGAAGAGCATAAGGATCTGGTTACTGACGAAGAAAATTTATTCACACACAATCTCGGATTCATGCATACAATGATTATATTAATTACTTGAGATTCAAGAAAAATGTGCTGCTTCTTCATCATATTTGAACGAAGTTACTCTATCTTCCAAAATCAGCAGTATCCTAACATCCACTAAAGACCTAGATCGAACCATGTCAATTGAATCATTAAGTGTATGTTAAGCACTTTTAGATTAAATAATTATGATAAATAATAGATGTACAAAGTGAGTCGGTAGCACTTTCGGGGCCCTGCTTTCGATTAGCCACTTTTAGCTCATTTTCTGTTTCAAACTTTGAAACTTGGTTTCTTAGATTCAGTTTTTAACGCTGAATCAGGAAAAATTGTCTCGAAGCTTCAGAAGAACATGAAGTCGAAATATTGTTTTTTTTGGAAATATAGCCGTTTTTTAAAATTTTAGAGCTTTCGAGTTTTTTCAATTTTTCTCGCCTTAAAAGTTTTGGGGAAACTTAAAAGGCACATATTCCTAATCAGCTCGATGACCTCTATTCAACTATGTATAATAAACGAAAAATAAATTTGAGCTCAAGTTTTAAATTTCCGGCACCTGATTTAATTCAAGATAGTCGAGGAGTAATTCCATTCAAACAGAAACAGTACGTTGTTGTATTTTGTATGCTTCAGATACTTGAAGTTCTTTCCAAAAATGAAGAACTAATTTTCTGAAGAATAAAAACGTGAAAATAGGCTAAAAAACATATATTCTGTTCTTCAGTTTTCAAAGAACACATTCGTGTTCTTCTTCATGTTCTCCATAGTTGTTCTTTTTTTTGAGTTCTCTCGACTGAAATTCGTTCACAGGGTTTTGATTCGAGAGCATGTTTCTCCTCTTGTTTTTCAAGTTTGTTTCTTTTAAATGAAAATAAACAAGATCTTGGTATATCAGTCGCTCGCTAAAATGTGCGGTTTGTAGTGAAGTGAAACTTGCTTGTGCAACTTAGTTCTGTAAACAACTCTTAAATATCTGAAACTGAGTATATGAGACCTACATAGTGCTGTAAACAAATAAATAGATACGGATTAATCATAATATCTCCTTAATATGTCTATATTATAACCAAATAACAGTCTATGATTAATATTAGATATAGAGAAAAGATCTATTACATCTGCACATAGAAATGTTCTGCAAACACATATACACGGTACAGATAACACTATTTACTTAACTTGAATCATATTATATAGTCATAAGACATAAACGATTGTTTAATTATCTTTGATGCGCCTATCACTAAGATGATAAATACACTCGTCAACATAATGGAAAAACAACGGTTTCCGATATATGTTTCCTTAGATCAGACAAATTTTTTGTCGGCAGAAAGGGCACGTCTGCACAATATAACAAACATAAACTCATGTAACAATTTCTAATCTAATAAACGCGTTTACAAACGGCATTCATAAGCACAATCCAAACGCGTTTAAACGGCTTAAAACTGAGACATTTGCAGCGTTCAAACGCTTTTTGTTTCGTAAATTTTTTGTATACACATGTTCATCAAACGCTTAAACTGGCCTAGAAATGAAACATTTGAAGCGTTCAAACGCACACATATTTTCATGTTGCTTTCAATCCGAAAATCTACGAAGATACCAATATTCCTTAATATCGGTGTAACTTGGTTTTATTTTTTATCAATTTGACTGAGTCCTGTGGTTAGGTTACAGAAGGAATAGAATTCAAATGTAGAATTAATTTTGAAAAATACGTTGATTGTAGCGCCAACAGCTAACTTCGCCTCACCAAATCGAAACAAATCTAGATCTTTCGATTTAATAAATAAGGATTCATCATTCGTTGAATGTAATGTTTATCGTATTATCTCTGCATGAGTAGAAGCGCATAGATGCACAATTCAGCCTCTCTTCGATTGTGTGTGTTTCCCAGGTTCCATTCCGTGATCTGCCGCTATTATGTCTGAATAATTCTCTCAGATATCAATGATGGTACTTTGACAGTAACCGAAATCTGAGCGATATGACTATTTTTCAGTCAAGAAAGAAGAATTCCTTTCAATTAATACAACCTCAATATAGAGTTTTCAGATAACTATTTGTTTTTGCCAGATTTGAAGTGTGCAAACTTTTTTGGTGAATATATATGTCTGGCAAAAGGCTACAAAAGTAATTTCGATGTTAGTTACTCGAGATACAAACTACCTCGGGAAACAAGCAAATTCAGCAGACAAATATTTATATTTAGTCATTTGAGAACGAATATACTCTTTTGGTGTAGTTTGGCTTGAGTCATTGTTATTCATTATTTATAAAACAGTCTTAGTCTTTGTCTTCTTACATCCATATTATATTTACGCATTTATCTTTACATAGATAAAAAGAATGTTATGATTGCAGCACAGTGAAGCATTACTCTGAAAAACAAATAGTTTATTTCGTATGAAGATTTGCTATGGCATGTTTATCCTGTTAGTGAGGTCTTCATTTCATAGTGAAACTGTTTTTTAATTTGAAGGAGGATCCAAGATTGGAAAAACACTTTAAGAGTCACCGAAGTGCTGTTACATGTTTAAGTTTTAGTCCAAATACAAAACAACTTGGTAAGTGTTGATAATTATTAATTTATTTTTCTTCTGGTAATTTCAAGTTTTACTTATATTTGTGTTTTAGTATCTGGTAGTCTTGATGCCTGCCTTTTTCTATGGCCATTTAAACCACAAGTCCGAGCATACCGTTTTGTTGGACACAATGTAAGCTCTACCTCTTTGTATTAAAGTATCCATCGCATTTTCTTTTGAAGAATGGTGATCGGATGCTTCCAAAGACGTTTTTTTCGTTCTTTTTTAGGATGCGGTCCATTCTGTCTGTTTCTCACCTTCTGGTCATTTAATTGCTTCTGGATCTAAGGATAAGAAAGTTCGTCTATGGATCCCTAGCGTGTAAGTATTTGCAATTTAGGTTTATTAAAATAAAATATAAAATATTTTATTAACAAAAAAAAATTGTTTTTAAGAAAAGGGGAATCAACAGTATTCAAAGCTCATACAGCAGCCGTTCGTTGTGTCGATTTTTCAAATGATGGTCAAAGTTTATTGAGTTCGTCTGAAGATAAAACTATTAAAGTATGTTTTTTTTCATAGTATTTACAAATGCTATCTTATTCTAATGGTGTTTTCCATCTAGATTTGGACTGTTCATCGGCAAAAGTTTCAGTTTTCATTAAGTCAACATTCTAATTGGGTGCGATGTGCCAGGTAACTAAATACTTTGTGAGGTTAAAATCGATCTGAAAAGTGTTTTTATGCCATTAGGTTTTCTCCAGATGGTCGTTTGATCGTGAGTTGTAGTGATGATAAAACTGTCAAAATATGGGATAGAAACACGAACGAATGTATGCACACTTTTTATGAACCACATGGGTAAGGTTTGTTTTTCTTATTTTTATCTCTTATCATGAATATCTCGCTATTGTTGTTTAGCTTTCTAAATGATGTTGCTTTTCATCCAAGTGGTACTTGTATTGGTGGAGGTTGCACAGATGCAAGTGTGAAAATATGGGACATACGTACAAGAAAGTTAATTCAACATTATGCTAGTGAGTATTTAGAGTTTCATTAATTAATTAAACTTTAGCTATTGATTTTTATTCCAGATCATGTTGCTTCAGTGAATAGCGTCTCATTTCATCCAACTGGCAATTTTCTTTTAACTGCTTCAAGTGATGCTACATTAAAAATATTTGATTTGTTGGAGGGAAGATTAATTTATACGTTACATGGTCATCAGGTATTTTGCGAGAAAAAAGATCAACAAATTTCTTTACAGAAGAATTTTTTATATTATATAGGGTCCAGCAATGGCTGTAGCTTTTTCAAAACAAGGCGATTATTTTGCATCTGGTGGACAAGATCAACAGGTACGAAGTAATAGAGTTATTTTGTCATCCTATACTAATCTTTCTCCTCGTTTTTTCAAGGTTCTTGTTTGGAAAACAAACTTCGATTCAAATTCACCATTAGATCCAATTGCTAACAGTAGAGGAGATGATATATTGACCAGCGCAGCTATAGGAGCAGCATCAAAACTCATTGGTCAAGATTCTCAAAACTATAATAAAAATGTAGATTTTGTACCATCGTCACGAATTTATTCTGCTGATCAAAGAAAACAGCAGCAGCAAATATCAGCATCGCAATTTTTATCTTTAAGAGAAAAATCACAACCAGAAACAAGTGATGAACGTCGTGCAAGAAAAGTGAGCATATTTTACGAATATAATCGATTGCTGGTGAACAAGATATTTTTGAATTAAGATTGATGTATTGAAAAGAAAACCAATTTCAAAAACAGATGTAGACGATGATGGAATTGAAATAACAAATATTGGATCAGCTTATCAAAATGGAATTACTCGAGTAAGAGGCAAATGTTTTCTTGTTTACTACTATGACTGTAAAATATGAATTCTCTGTTTAGTCAAGTAGTGCTCTGGCATGTTTGGTCAATACCAGTAAGAATGCAAACAGAGACAACAATAATTATTCTAATTTGGGAACAAAACAGCAACAGACAAGAACAATGTCATCTAATATGTACGATGATGAAGATATTAATGTTGATGGTGTCTATTCTGAGAATTTAGAAACAAAACTTTATTCACCACAGTTAACAAATACACTTGAACACATCGTTCAACAACTTGATATATTAACAAAGGTTTGTTGCATTTCTTTACATCATCAGTAAATTCTTTTAATTTGAGAAAATATAGAGAGATAATAAAATTTAGCATTCCCTATTCTTCTCAGATCAACATTTGATTATTTGCTTGACATATTGTAGACAGTTGCCATATTGGAAACAAGATTGACAATGACAGAAACTAAATTGCAGGAAATGGCCGAACAACGAAAATATTGATTGAGCTCGTATGTACATGTCAATATTATTATTTAATTTTTTATTCGATCAAATTGCTCTCTATTACAAACTCATTTAGTCAGATGTCTTTTTTCTTAGGAAAGATTAATATTATTCTCGAATTTTTAAATGAATATTTCTTTGATGATTTAACTTTGTGTATATATTTGTCTTCTTTTAAATGCTTGCCAATCATGCAAAACTTTTTAAAAATTCTTATTTATCACTAAGAATTAAAAATACTTTCTCTGTCAACTATGCTTAAAAGCAAAATAGTTTTGTTAACTTTTCTTTTCTGTTTTTAATGTAATAGTTTTTCCAATGTTTTACTTGATGAAAATAAAAATAAATAAATTCTACTGGTCGAACTAGACGTAGCTATTTCTATTGTTGTCTTTTTTAATCATGTTTTTTCTACAAATAGTTCGCGATAGATACTCCACTTAGATGTAACGCCTTCAGGAATAACAATCACGACAATGAATTATCGCATCATTCTGTGCAATCTCTCATTTTGTTGAAAATCCATTAGCTTCGATGACGTTACATTATTATCATATCTCGCTTTGGCTTGATCCAAGTTCTACACATTTCTTTTAATCCGTCGCGGCATCCCGTGTATTGAAACACGTTGGAAGTTTCTAAAGTATAAATCTTGTATTGAGTCCTAGGTTCTCTGAAGTTATTGTTATGTAAATGTTGTTGATGTTATGATTAAATTAAGCTTGATAGGAAGCAGAGCTGGAACCGGTTGAGAAAAGGTAAACCAGTCCGATTCGGCCGGTCTAAAAGTGTAATCAGACCGGTTGGAATTATAACTCAAACCGGCGAAAACCTGACGAAGTTTTTTGAAAATCGATTTTCAGAAAGAACTTTTCCTAGAAATGAAATAGTTTGCGACCACATATGAGAAAACCTTCACAATAACGAGTCTATAACATTTAACCTTAAAACAAGTGATGAAAATAATATCTGTCTTGAGCATCGTCTTATTTATTCTGACTGAAAAAGACTTGAAATTTTAGTTTTTTGACGAAAAATAGGGTGAAAAGAGCAGACGTTTCAATAGTTTCAACCGGTGAAATACCGGTCTTTATCGACCCGGTTGACTTTTTCAACCGATCTGGCCGGACCGCTACCGGTTTACCAGACCGATTCCAGCTCTGATAAGGAGACAGCTCCTTCAACTACTCGAACTGGAAATCTATAGTATGAGAGCCTACGACACCATAAGTTTTATAACAAGCGAGAATCAGAAGGATCAGAGAGCATACAGAAATAAAATCGTTGTGCGCTTATGATGTGCTGCTTCGACATCGCAGAACCTGTCTACGGTATCGAGGCGTTCACTAGTCTGTAAACTGACTAAAGACCCTGGTTTTCTCAAAGTTCAAACTGTGTCCGAATGAGACATTATCCGTACCATCAAACATAATTCTTAATCAAGATCTCTTTTATTAATGCGTTACCCTCTCACCTGCTTAGAACAGATCAACAGGCTGTATATGGCATACCACACATCAGTTGATTTAAACTTTTACTTAATGAAAAAAACATATGGGAGTACCAGCGAGCATGGGAAGGTTCACATCATCAATGTTCTGAAAAATAAAACTGCAATGTCAAGGGAATAAAATAAATAAAAGAGAACAAAAGAAAGAAAAGGAAGGAAACAGAGCATGATAGTACAATAACAAGTAAAAGAAAGAAGTAAAAAGTAATGCAATAATGTTACGAAAAATGCAACAGAGAGGTAAAGTAGTCACACGAACAGGATATAATTTATTTTATATGATGAACAGAAAACTGATTTAAAACCAAGTCGTCTTTGTAACATACACTCTAAAAAAAACAACTTCTTCAGAAAACTGGAACTTTGTTTTTCATTTGTCCCAAATAGGGATCTGATACGAGTTTTCTGAAAATTTGCAACAACTGATTTTTTCATTTTCCGGAAGAACAGAAATTGAGTTTTTCATTTTTTTAGATCCCTATTTGGAACATTTGTTTTCCAGAAATCATCAGATCGAAAAATACATTCCTGTTTTCCACTTTTTTCAAAAAGCTGAATCTTATTCCTTCTTTTCACCAGCCAACTTTCAATCCTATACCTGTGCTTAGCTGCCGAAGTATCTTTTATACTGTATAAATACTGTCAACTGGAGACCTGAGTGGAGAAAGCTATGTAATCCACATTCTACCTCGACTGACGTGTGGAATCTGATTCCATCCGGATCGAATCAGGTTTCAGACGCGGTATGTACTCGACTCGTAGAATTCGAGTTGAATTTTAGAACTCTGTTGTCAAGAACAAATATGTTCTCGAAGTATGCACGTTGTTGTTATATAAGGAGATATTTGTAAGAATAAGTTTAAGTTTCTGTAAGAAAAAATCATGTCTCCTATATATATATATATATATATATCTGGAATTGCGAAAAAAAATCGGTGGTCGACATCGTGATTTTCTTTTCCTTTTTAAACTTGGAGATCTTTAAAGAACTTAACAGAAATATTGTTTTCAAAATCTTGAAAAACAAAAGTTCTGAAGGACTAAAATGAGCCGAAAAACTGAAATGAATGAAAAACTCATTTTTTTTCAAAAATAAAAATCAAGTTCATATTTCAAAGAACTTAAATAAGATTTTCAACTAGTCCTTTGAAAACACGAAGAACACGTTTTTTTAGAGTGTAGTGTCAAGTACATGTTATATCGAATTAATATCAAGGTAGGTGATTCCCCTCGGAAGTGCACAAATTACAATCGAACAAATAACGATGAATAGTAATACACAGATTCTAGTCTAGCGGTCGGTATTCACGTCAGTTGACTGCAATAAAAAATCAGAAAAATAAACAATTTATATGCAAACTGCAATAGACTTCCGTCTATCAACAGATCTCTTTCTTCGGAAAAACGAGGATCTCCAGTAAATCCACACACCAGTAAATGTCTCGAAGCCGTAGACATGTTCTATGGTGATAGCGCAGTACTTTGATTTCCACTTAATGATTTGGGTCATATAGCTCCACTGAACACATCAAATTCCATACAGTGGCCTAAGGACGTTTTAATATGGATGGTCGCGACATAATGGATTGCCAACTGGTCAGTTGCCAGTGTGTTAGCACACGCATATGGTGTGCCTCGACTGTTGCCACATAAATAATTTTGTCCAACGTCTGTGTAGTTCTGGGCAGTTTCAAATTCGTTCTATTACTGGTTTAGAATTGATGATGCTTGACACGTTTGTGGTAAAATCATAGACCGTCAGATCAATGGAACAACAACTAACGTTATGACAAAAACGATCAGTTACTCTGTCGTAAAAATTAATGGAGGAAAATGAGCATTTGATTCGAAAGCTTCTATTGATTTCACACGATAGCATAACAAGGATGATAAATGGTAATTAGGGTAATGTTCATTGTCGCATATGTGTTTAAACGTCGCCGCTGCCAAATCAAAATTGCAAAGCTGTATTGAAAAAATCGAGAAGATTTTTCATATATTATGATTGTTTTCTGATTATTACCGTTTGTTGTTGGACAGATGTGTTGAATCTAACCACCTTTTGTGTCTTGTTGTTCTGAGAATATATAAGAACCAGTAAAATTTTAAAGTTTTTTCTCGTGATTCGTCGAAGTGTGAACTTTGACTAGAGTCACATCCAACGTTTCTACGTTGTTTGACTCGGACCGTTTTACGATCAAAAAACGGTCTTTTTTTATAGACTACATTTTTATCCTTAGTGCAACGTTTTATAAACTTCTCACAGAATTGAAAAATTTTAAAAGTTTGTTCGGTCAAAACCGATTCGAGATTGGTCTTCTCCATGGTCAATTTTCTTGTACGCGATAACTTTTGGGTCGGGGTACTTCAGAAAAAAATTTTCTCACAGTCTTGCTCAACAATTTTTCAAAAAGTTATCAATGCAAAACGATGTCAAGCAATTTTTCTAAAGTACCCTGATCTAAAAGTAAACGCTTACAAGAGAATCGACCATGAAGAAGACGAATCTCGAATCGATTTTAATCGAACAAGCTTTAAAATTTTTCAATTTGGTGATATGTGTTGCATTTAAAATAAATTTTATTATTCACTAGTTATCTCGAAAATTTTGTTTGTGGCACCTTTTGGTTCTTAGTGCCGTCTAGATTTGGACTGTTCATCGGCAAAAGTTTCAGTTTTCATTAAGTCAACATTCTAATTGGGTGCGATGTGCCAGGTAGCTAAATATTTTGTGAGATTAAAATGGATCTGAAAAGTGTTTTTATGCCATTAGGTTTTCTCCAGATGGTCGTTTGATAGTGAGTTCCAGTGAACTAAACTGTCAGAATTAAAAGACACTGAACATTCAATCATCGAAATGTAATAATAGTATCACTGTTTGACATTTTACGGGCATTAGTCAATCAACTATACGGATTGCTTGACAGATTATTAAAATGATAGTTAAGCATAAAGAGTATCTGAAAACCCGTTAACGCTAACTAACGCTAACTATTGGCGCTGTCTTCATGCTGATTAGCTTTCGAAGGAACGAATAAGAAAAAGGATGAATCAAGTCAAAGAAAAAATTAAAACTGTTCAACGCAAGTGACATAAATATTGTATGGAAAAGTTACGGTAAGTATAACAATGACATGAAAAACTGAAATACTACACTTTAACAGTGGCAATATCCCGCTTTCATTGTGACAAAGCCATACTTTGACCTTAACATCATATCAATTGTGGCACCATTCCACTCTTAATAGAATGACAATATCAAACTTTTATAGTTTCTGCTTTCAAAAAAGGTTGAAACTGTTTTTTCATGACTCAAAGGAAGACCTACTATGCAGTGGTGGACAGCTTTTTATAGATTTATATATATAAGAAAGCTTCTGATGAGAACAAAAAACATATTCAAGAGAGCAAGCATGAGTTTTTTGAACAATTACTTCGGATTTTTTTCTGCCACTCTTTAGTGGCTGTTTTAACTTGTCCTACGATTAAGATAGCTTTTTCTCTAAAAAAATGAAAGTATTTAGTATTTAGTGTAGAATTGATGTTTGCTCTCTAAGGTGAGGTTCGCTAAGTGAGTCAAGTATCACAACGACATAGTGTTGAATGTTATCGATGATAGTCAGAAGTGTAAATCCACAAAACGCTGTCAGGTTGTAGTTAAAGCTGTGCCTTTGTTTGGCATGCATTGTTTGATAGCTTTAGCAAATTGAACCTATTCAACTAAGTCAAAGCTATTTATCTGTTTTTTGTGGCTTATTTGTAGTAGCTATCTGTTCCAGTGTTGCTTTTTTTGTTTTATTGTACTTATATTAATAACATCAAAATATTTTGATTTCAAATGTTTCTAAAAGTAAAAATTGTTTATTTTTGTTTATTCTGACAACGGTACTAATATGTCGATCACGTCGAAAGTAAAGTTTTTGTTAAATTTAGTATAAGATTCATTCTTTAGGAATGATACTTAGTATGTATTGTTTGCATTTTTTGTACTTTATACATCAATATCCAATGCAAGTTTTCCTTGTTTTTTCGGTTGTCGAGCTTGAAAGTACAACGGTATACGTTGAGCAGAAGCCATCGTACTTCTTTATTAATGACTGATTTATTTCCAATCGGACTAGAACAAATATGTTAAGCATCGCTTATTGATCTTAATAGCTTAGAAAAAGTTACAGAAAAAATAGTTAGATTACGCCATTTTTATTTGAGTTTAATTAAAGCTTCTCTATTGTTCCTTTTTTTTACATAGTTTTCTCATCAAAGCTTGTTATGTTTTTATATATGATAAATAAAAATACGTTGAATCTATGATGTAGATTACTTCAGTTAGAAGTAATTACATTTAGGGGAGAAAAATCTCCGTTTCTAAAGCAATGGAAAGAGGCAGACCACCGGTTTTTTTATATTCGAAAAACAAGAAGTGAAAAATGCCATTGTATACTTTTAGTATGAAATTTTTAACACTCAAAGTATGTCAGTATTACACTTTTTACTGGAAAGTGTTTCAGCGAGAAAAAGCCTAATATAACAACACTAATGGACACAAATAATCTAATGTAAAAGCGATACCTCGACGATTACGTCATTATCACATTCGACAGTAAATTTCAGTGGGATAAAGCTACGCTTTTGTTATGTTTTTTTCTTTTAGACTTAATTCATTTGTTCAGTTAGATTTTTAGATTATTTTTTGTTTTGTTTTAACCAAGGACGCGACCAGTGAATGATCATATGTCAAAACAAATAAAAAAAAAATAGCTGAAAAAAAAACGAAATAAAAATCATTGTTTCTACTCACACGATATTTTTTTCTGAACATAATTTAAAATTTATATTTACACGCTAGGAAAAAGATCTGATACTAAAGCGATTTATTACAAGAATTAGTCGTCATTCCTAAGTAGGAAATTAAGTAATAATTTAACTGTTGATATAATAGCTATTTTGAATTCACTTATTTTTATTAATTGATCTCTTTCAGGACTGTACGATATTCCCTATAGATGAACAGTGATTTTGATTTATTGCAACAGCAGTATACAGAAAACATTATTTATAATATTTCTTAGTAGTAGACCGTTCTTCTACTATTCCGCTATTTGAATTAAAGTTATATTTTTAATTTTATTTTAGATGCAGCAAAGTCATGTTCAACGTGTTTCGTTTTGTAAAACTGTTAGTTTATTCAATCATATTTTACAACCATCTCAAGCCTGTGCCTTGTTTTATCAAACATTAACATTTTCATTAAAAAATTTTAATCTAATTAAATGGATAAGTACTCATATTGATATACCCACAGCGTTACAACTTTTTATGATCGATATTAATGGACATGTAACATGCAATGAAATTTTATATTCTCAATTAACATCAAAAGTTTCAACCTGTCAAACGAGTAAAGAAGGTATGTGTAATAAGTTGTCCCATTGAGTTTTATATTTTAAATACATTTTCTGTTTTCTTTAGGTGATATTCGATCTGATTTAAATTGTGTAAGTTTGTACTATTAATCGCTTTTGATTCAGATTAAAAGATAAAAAAAAATCGATTTTCATTTTTATTTTAGATATTAAAATGGATTAGTAAAGTTATTTTACGATTGTCTACTGATTATTCACTACCATCGAAAAATGAACGATCAATGGAATCTGAAGCATTTTATAATTTTCTCAAACAATTTTATAGTAATGCATATGAATTACTTTCACTTCTTCAAACTTATTTTTATTCAGAAATTTGGTAGTAATCTAGTCTTAGTCCTACCCATGTCGCACTTTTTTTCGTAATACCGTCAGTTACCGATCGGTCTATAGATTACCGCTCATTAACCGTACCGTACGGTATAACGACCGATTTAGCGACGGCTTTTTCTTCTATCGGCGGTTACCACACGATATTTTTTAGACTGTGGTACAAGAAAAAACCCGTCGGTAAACGGTTTTGACACAATCACCTTTTTGTTTTACGGTTGTCAGTCTATATAAGAAACGCAGAAAGAGTCCAAAAACTTTGATTTTTTTCAGATTAAACTTTCTCTTTCAGATTGTAGAGACTCGTCGAAGTTTGTACTTCGACGTGAGTTAAGTTTTTCCCGCCTGGGAACCTCATTGCGTTGCATGCGTACTGCAAAAAAAACGAAAAAAATAAAACTGAGAACTAGATTCGAACTGCTGTACTGTTTGCTCACACTGCTAAATGACCAGTTGATACCGCCGGTACAACCGACCGGTATACCGTGCGGTAATTCCAGTTCCGCTGATGGTATACTGTGGAATATACTCGACGGTAAGCAGCGGTATTGAAGATATGGGTATGATCAAGTTAGATTTTCTTCCTCTTTTCTCCTCTAGCTCTTACTCTTTTTTCTGACATTATTGTCAAACTCTCTTTACAATGAATTATTCATTTTTAAACAACTATCTACGACACAGACTATTTACGAAGATTTTAAAACTTTTTCTCGTTATTCAATGAAATACATGCACAATGTTTCAATAACGTTTATTTATTTGTTTGTTGTATTTTTTTTTAGTAATAGCTGATGATCGATCAACATTAAGTGATAATGATGAGATAATAATGAATGATCAAGATGATGAAGATATCAGTAAAAGAGCAATTCAGCGTGCATTGATGGTAAATTTTTCTAGCATCTAATCGATATGCTAAAACTTAATTTGTCAATATTTTATCATTAGAAATGTGCCGATTATTTAACAAAACCGTCTGATGAAATGGATAATATTGAATTAAATTCTAACATTCGAAATTTTGAATCAAATGATATTGCCATTTATAATCAGCAAATTATACAAATATTGTGTAGTGATACATTAGAATTAGAAGTTGAAATAGAAGCAGCAAAAGTAAGTATAAAATTATCAAAATATTTTTAAATTTATAGAATAATATTAGAAAACTAAAAATAGAATTCAAAATTTTATCTCTCTTTTCACAACAACAAAGCCATACATTATTTCATTAAATATTTACATTTTGCTTACCATCACTTATTAGCTCAAGAGTTTGTTAATTCTCCTTTTAACATTTATCATTGAAATGTTTTTTTGAATCGTTTAGTATAATTTTATATTTCGAATAATCTAGTTGATAAATCTATACAAATTGCTTACGCAAATCGTACGGTTTTCTTATTTTTATTTTTTTTTCTATATTCTTCAATTGAATCATTCGTGGTGATTGATTGTTGTGTATCTTGTTTTTGTTGAAAATGTTTAATTTCTTTTTCATATAATGTATCAATTGATAATTGAATAGCTTTTTTACATATTTTGAGATTATTCATAAATGTTGCTTCCATTTGAATATATCGTCCATTATTAATATAACCACAATTAAGAAATCCTGCATTAATATAAGACATATATAGACTATTATTAGTTTTAGTCGAATATTGAGGTCGTTTTATTGTTGTAGACACAAATCCGATTATTTTTGTATAACCATTCGATTCACAATAATCATATAAATTTTTTAATAATGTATATAATAGACGTCTTCTCTCATACACAGGTTCAATGAGTATGTCAATAATTGGCATGATCTTTAATAATTGTTGATTATTTAAAAGTTTATTTTTTTTCTCCACAAAATAGGAACCCGATTAGTTTACCATATTTATCTAATGCATACCAATGATGACTTGACGATGGATTTGAATATAAAAATGATGCTGCTGATGTTGAAGTATGAGTTTCACCACGAAAACGACGATAAAAATCAACTAAATCATTTTTTGTTATTGAATTACATTCCTTAACAATAATCGGTGTTGTTGTTCGTTCATTGCTATTTGTTTCTTCTACTACCCATTCTCTTATACGATCGGTGTTCCAATAACTAGAGACTGGTGATGGTGATGACGGTTGCGCAGCTTGATCTTGTTCAGAATGAATAACAGCAGTATCAACTTTATGATTATTCATATTATGATGAAAAACTGCTAGTTTTTTTTCTGATGAGAGTATTTCTCGTTTTTCTAATGTTTCATGTCTAACTGGTTGAAATGTTAATGTAGATTCGGCTAGAGATTGACGACGATTACGTTCATTGTAAAGATAATTTGATAAAGACAATGTACGATGACGATGAGGATCTGACTGAGCGATGGGGATATTGGTTGATGAACCAATTTGTGGAAAACGAAATGGACGCATCGTTTTTTTTGATGATTTACATTCTGATGGTGAAAGGTATTGTTGCTGTTGATGTTCACAAGTAGAATCTTTTGTTGTTACCAATTTGAAAAGATCGACAATGTCCATTTTTAGTGTTAAATTTTATAATAAACTTGGTTGTTGATCTAACCGACGAATTAACAGTAATATAGAGTCGATTATAAATGATAGTCTGTCAACAAATGCAATGGTAATGGTATTAGTCATACATAAGATTTTTTTGACACAGACATTTATTCTCTCTCCTTTTTCATTGAGAGAATTTAAATTCGAAAAAAACTTCTATAGCAGAGAACTACGATCTTTTAAGTATATTGAAAATAGAATTATAATCTACTCACCGTTAAAAGTTGATTTAATCAGTTTTAGCATAAATAGTTCATATATGTCTTTTCAATGATATAAAGGATAAACATAGCTTATCTCCGAAAACGTATAAAATCGATCCACGAATATTATATTAGTTAACAGATGTTTTTTAGTTAAGTATGGAGCTTTTTAATTCTGATGATGTTTAACTTTTTCTCTACTATTTTCCGATGAATATTCAAAATGAATATAAAAACAATCTCAAGTGTCTTTTTTATCGAAAATGCAGAATGAATTCGACGAAAAATATTTGGATATAATGGCTGTTTTTGCTTGTTATCATTATGGCCTACATGGAAGGAAATTTTTACAAGAAAGAACAAAAAAATGTCTTTTGTATATCAAATCATCAGTATTATTATAAGATAATAGACGTTACTTTTCTTTTCTTTTTATGACTATCGTAGCCATATAGTCTATAGAACATACTACTGTTTTTGAAAGGTAGATAACAAAAGGAAGAAGAAAAGAGAAAGAAACTTTCCTCGAAAGACAGCTATTATATTCTTCGTTTAAAAGCAGTTAGTCGTCACGCGTCGAAATTTTAATTCTACGAAAACTTGATCTTTCGATGATGACGCAAATGTCTGTGTATGTTAGTGTTTTATGAAATATATCAGGTGTTTTAAATGTTCAACATTCTATTTTTGGGCTTGTACATCTAATCTTCTTTTTATACTACGTGTATAGAGTTAAACAACTAAATATGTGAATAAAGTAAGAACAGCTGGGTGTAGGTTCAAACGTATAGTATATCTATTATTTATTTTCACACGCTTCTTTGCTTTTAATTTCAAAGTGCTTAAAAAAAGACTTCAGAAACAAAAAAAAACATTTTCTTTCCGTTAGCAACAAATGGGATGACATTCAGGAAATAACACCTCATTTAGCATAAACTCAGATAAAATCTTACTTTAACAAATGGATATTTTTTTGATATAAAAAAAAGAGGCAAAAAAAGAAAATTGCCACTATTCTTTCAGGAACATGGTTTTAAGCGTACTCGTTTTGATCTAGTACATCCTGTAATAAGAGACTGGCAATTGAACTGAGAGCACTTTCCGTAATAAAAGACTTTTAGCTATTTTGTCGTTAAAATTATTGCATTCAAACGACGATGATATAAAGCACGTTTATTTGGTATAAAGAACACCCCTCGAGTAAAATGACTCTGGCTAGTGTGATTTAAGAATACAAGATAATATAATTTTGATTTAGCAATGATTTAGGATGCAATGCGCTCTAACAGGTTTTTGGAATGCAACGGGATTCATTTTTCTATCAAACTCGATCATTTAACAGTCATGGGATGAAGTTTATTTTTTTGTATTGTTTTGCACGTAAATGAATTTAGTAATTAAAAGAACTTGATTATAGTATCCGCTTTACTTTGTTAGAAAGATTAGAAAAAATATATGTTTTCATAATGCTTATGATTTTTATTGATAATTAATATAATATACGTGCAATAATCTTCTTTTAGACAAAACCAACTGTTGAATTAACATCGTCACAGTCGAATGAAAACATACTGATAAGTTATTATTCTGTGTGGGTATGTATGATATGCACAGAATTGTTTTAAATTGCCGTTATTTTATTTTTTTTGTTTTGTATTCTAGTCTGCGTTGTGGAAAAACGTGACTGATGAATATCTTGAATATAGTGATAAAATAAAACTACGAAAAGTTTCATTGGATTCTGATAGTAGATCAAGTCAACGTTCATCTGTTAGAGAAAACGATAAAGTGTTGGATGAAATTTGTAAACAACAGCAAAATTTGAGAAAAACAAAGGTAAATATAACTAATTATAAACTTATATTAATACAAAACTTTCAGTTTTTGTTTATAGTATACTGCTTCGAGTACACTAGCCGCCGTACCAACACTACATGATCGTTTAATGGCTGATATTAAACGGAATCATATATTGCGACCAGTTGGTAAGATGTCATATTTTTACTTTTTCTATAAAACATAGAATTTTAATAACTTTTTTACTTTAGATGTTAATCAACCACTTGCTGCTCTTCCATCAAAAAAAAAATTACAGCGAAAACGTATCCGACCGGTTGATAGCGTAAGAGCAAGATAATTCAATTATGAAAAGTAAATTACGTAATGTATGTGCATTTTAGCAAATGACTGATTCGGATGATAGTGAAGAAGAGAGACGTGATATTTATGGACGAAAACGCGTGGCTGTTGTCGATTGTTTATTAGAATCATCTGATGAAGAAGGTATGTTGCATATTAGTTAGAGACCGTGTCTCAGCAATAGATATGCGCGATCTAGCTGGAGTAAATGGCGAAATTGAGTGTCAGTACGTGGCGCATGGCTGCTATATATCACTTTATCTTTTTCTGTGACAGTCATCTTATACCCCGCATATTAGTGCATGATACGATCTCACTAAAGAGAAATGATGGTACTAAACCGTGTTAGAAAAGTCAGCTGAAGGTTTGTGGATAACGAGGACTACATAATAAACGATCTGGATCTTTTAATTTGTTCTGAGTTTTAAAGACTTCAGGAGAATCTTGTATTATGTCCCAAAACAAATTCCTGTTCTGCAGCAATTTCTGAATTTTTTGTTCGATTTTCTACAAATTTTCTTTATTTTCATCTTCTATTGTTTTTTTGACGTAGATGTTTTATCGAAATATCGTCTAATACTGCAGTATAACTGACGTTTTTCCCAAAAACTATTTAAAAAAAGAGATCTTGTATTTCAATTTTTTATATGATGAGGTAGGTACATCGGTACAGCCTTCTAATTTGTCAAGCCCTTTACTATAAAGTTAAGTTTTAATTTTTATACTGTGAGTACTGACATTTTACATTAGTCTTTTTTATTTTTAGTTAAACCAAAACCAAAAGTCGTGACTGGATCAAAGAGTGAACGAAATGTAAGTCAATATGATGATGATGACGACGATGATTACGTTGACCTGGCCGAGTCATTAGCAACTCTTGAAGTAGAATATGACACAGAATGGTCTGCATCAGTTGGACAGACAAAAGAGAAGGGGCTTGGTACTGCTCGTAAAAAAATATCGAATCGAAAATCTTTCACATATTCTACAATACAAAGTTTTGAACTTGGCCATATAACAATGGACGAGATTATTCGGGTAGGCATGTCGCTGTTTAATTGGTTGTTAAACTGCTTCTTGTCTAGTATTTATGTGGTTATCGTATTTTAGCGTATCATGTGCTTTTATTACTAAATGGTAGGTTACACACCATATGGATGCTGCATTGCACTACAAAGCTTCAGTTACGCTTTTGCATTTGCGTATTGCATGAAAAATCTATCTCGATCTCTATCAAACCAATGAAGTAAAATCCCGAACATAACACTTTTTAAGAACACTCTTTCCGCTAGACTTGTCAGAAACATCACAAGAGTAACGAGAAAGTAGCAGACTGGCTAAAAAACTGACGAAGTTTATCTCTCATCGTGCACTCAACATTTGTTTCACGAATGAATCGATCAGTGAGATACTTTCATTCCGACATTCTGTATTTTTTTAATTCTGCTTTTTAAACTTGAAATATTTCACTGAGTAAAGTGATCAATTCTTTTCCGAGCCGATACTGAATGTAGCTCAAGAAAAGTGAGCAGAGTGGCATGATGCAAGGTAGATGAGATTTGAATGTCTTTTTCAGAAAAGTGTCAGATAAAATTTAAAAATCCATCAGTTTTGTAATACATGTAAACTTTTCCCCGATCGAAAAGTTGCTGGACAATGTATAAACTATTTGATTGAAAATATTGTAATCATCG